ATTAACTATCACATAAAATAAAGACAATATAATAATATAATAAAAACTCTAAATTAAAATAAAAAAGATTGCAAAGATTAGATTAATAGTACCTAATTATTGAATGCTTATTGTAAATCATAAATGAGGCTCACAGCTTTATGAACATAATAACATGATAGATTTTTTGCATATTCTTTGGAGGAAACATAAAGTCAAAAGAAGAAAGAACAAACAACGAAAGAAAAATTCAAGAGTAGAAATTATAAATTGAAAAAACAATAGTTGATAAGTGATAAAAAATTAAGATTTATTAAACACATAATTAAAGAAGTAAAAAAATATGTCATTTTATTAATTATTTTTTACTTTTACATATTTTTAGTAAGAAATGAGATAATTAGTTTAAAATTAATAAGAATGGGGAAGTGAGAGAAAATAAATATTTATTAGACATGACATAATAAGTAAATATTTTATTAATTATCTTATTTTTTTTATATTTTTAATATAATTAATTATATTATTATTGTTATAAAAATATAAAATCTTTTTAAATTTGAATCTAAAGTCCTCGTTTGGATGACGTTATCTAAACGCCGATCCTACAAAGTATATGCACCAGAAATACTACTACGAATTGCCAGTAGACTCCGGCCCAAAGCAAAAATCATAACATTTGGCTACAAGTATAGGATGCTGCTTTATTCTTCACAATAGGAAACATATATATAGGTCAAGGAACAAGCATACAAGACAAAGAAGACAGGTCACGGACAGCAAAGTCCCTTGTAAAGACAAAGTGGATATACTAGAAGATGATCTCACAAGAGTTAAGAGTTTATTAGTTTCTTAAGCAATTGAAAGCGAAAAAAAGCTATCAGGAGGTAGGATAAAAACATGAACAAGAATATATATGTATAGATATAACCCAACACTCAAAGTAAGCGGTGAGCATATACAATGGACAGCAACCACATGTAGTAGTTTTATCTTTCCCTGCACAAGGCCATGTAGCGCCTCTAATGAAGTTGTCCCTCCAACTTGCGGCCCATGGAGTTAAGTAACATTTGTTAACGCAGAGGTCACAAATGAAAAAATTTTGGTTTCATTGCCTGAGAAACTTGAGGAGCCAAGTCAGATAAGCCTTGTTTCGATTCCTGACGCAGGGGATGAGGATGGACGAAACGATGCTGTTAAGATGGTGGAATCAATGCGCAGAGCTATGCCTGGTTATTTTGAGGACTACTTGATCAAGAAAATTAACCAGTCAAATGTCAATGAGAAGATCACTTGTGTTATAGCTGATACATCAGTTGGGTGGGCACTAGAAGTGGCCAAGAAAGGTGGGAATAGAAGCAGTTGCAGTTCGGCCTGCTGGAGCAGCATGCTTGGCCCTTGCACTACACGTTCCACCACTTCTTGAGGCTGAGATCATAAACACTGATGGTAAAATGGGAATACCAATAGTAAATAGCAGAATATGTCTTTTGATATAATCATGTTGGCCTTTAACTTTCTTTTTAGCTCAATGTTTTTAAGTTAATGATTATAGTTTGTAGAATTCAACCTTTATTGCTTGAGAAAAAAAAAAAAGCACGAACTCAGAAAGGATCATCTGTCTGTAAAACAAGATATACATACCATTTTTTTATTTTGACTTGATTTTAATTTGAGGACCAACAAAGCAGTTGAAAGCTTTTGAGTGCTTGATCTAATTGAAAAACTTGAATTTCTGGGAATTGTAATAAAAGATGAGCCAGTCTCGCTGTCAGAGGACGTCCCTTCCTGGAGAAGCTCTGAAATTGGATGGAGAAGCAGTGGTCCAGTATTGCACAAAGCTATACTTGGATTTTATTCTATCGTCCCCGAGTATGCCAAATTTTATGACTGGTTACTTTGCAACTCAGTTTACGAATTAGACTCTTCAGCCTTGAAATTGATTCCCAACGTCTTGCCTATTGGTCCATTACTAGCTAGTAACCATTTGGGAGCTTTCGCTGGAAACACTTGGCCTGAAGACTCAACATGCTTAGAGTGGCTTGACAAACAACTTGCTGGTTCTGTCCTTTATGTTGCATTTGGTAGCTCAACAATAACATGTGCTCAACAAGTGGAAGAACTAGCTCTTGGTCTTGAACATGCAGGCCATCCATTTTTATGGGTTGTTCGATCAGACTTTATGGATAGATCAATTGCTAAATTCCCTCATGAATTCAAAAGTAGAGTAGCTGAACGTGCAAAAGTTGTAGAATGGGCGCCTCAGGAAAAGGTGTTGGCTCACCCTTCTGTTTCTTGTTTCATGAGCCACTGTGGCTGGAATGCCACAATAGAGGGTCTAAGCATGGGGGTACCCTTTTTATGTTGGCTTTTGATAACTCTATTATATATAGTTATTTTGACTCATTTTGGGAACTTAAGTAGCTAGATCTTTGATATTTTAGGTTCGAATTTTAGCATTTCAAGTGTTTTTTTTAGTTTAAGTTTGATTACTTGTTAAGTGATTAATTTAAGTTA